TTCTTATTTCAATCAAAAGTTAGGCTACTCTATTGTCCTACATTAGTAATAATCTAGCTTATGGCCTGATGATCCGTTCTTTGTATAAATCTATTACATCAATGTCCCTTAGAAGGGACCGCCGGGTGTAAAGGGTTAAAAGCTGTCCAGTTGGCCAAATCTGTAATTCTTTTTCTTTTGAGCGTGACTGTTCTATGAAGAAGCAATTCTAGAAGTATTACATGTTATAGACGGATTCAATATCAAATTCATCTGCTATAACATTTCCCATTTCGTTTACTCTTAGGGTAGTGATAAAATTCTAACTGTATAGATAGACAAATCTGACTTTGTTCTCGTATGTCAATTTAGGAACATGTCTGCAGATATTAATGTACAATCCATAAAACAATGTCAAATTGAATTATGTAAAAGTATGGCCGTATCACAATGTTTTCATTGTTCAAAAAATATTTGTTTAGAACATTTAACTGAACATGTTAATTTAATTAATGTTCCACAAATTTCATTAATAGACCAATTAAATTATTTAAAAGATCAATCAGAACATATGACTATTGAACAATTAAGTAAACAAGCATTAAATAAATTAGAACAATGGAAAAATGAATCATATGAAATTATTAATCAATTGTTTGATATAAAATATCAAGAATTAGAAATGGGGATACAAAAACAAGAAGACTATTTAAATGAAAATAGAATAAAACAACAACAATTAGTTAAAGATGTTCAAAATAAATTAAATGAATCAAATTTAACAAATGAACAAATTAACAATATTAAACAAAATATTGAACAAATTAAAAATAATTTAAATGAATTTAATAATAATTTTATTAAAATTGAAACAAAATCATTAAATATTGATCATAATTATATTAAAATTCAAATAAAAAGTAGAGAATTAAATTTAAAACAATTAGAAACTATACAACCAATAAAAACATGTCATTTAAAATGGCATGCATTTGCCATGGCTAGTAATCAATATTTTATACTTTTACAATATAATGAACAAATATTAAATGTTTATGATCATGAATTAAATTTATACAAACAAATACCATGGAATCATGATATTATTTGGGATATGTGTTGGTCAACAATAATAAATGAATTTATTCTATTAACATTAACAAATATTTATACTATTGATGTAAAAACAACAAATATAAAATTAATTGATCAAATTAAACCACATAAAACTGATGCCCCATTTGGACATTGTACATGTTCACATTTAAATGATAATGATACACATTTATTTATTAGCTATAAAGGATATGATCCAGTAATAGAAGAATATAATTTAAAATTAACATTTCAATTACAAAAACAATGGAAATCACCTCAAACATGTTCACATGATGAACGTATTAATTGTCTTCGTTATAATAATTATAATGATCAAATAGGTTTAATTATTTATAATAAAACAACTGATCAATGGCATTTAGATGTACATGAATTATTAACATTTAATGTTATATGGTCTTTAGAATTAGGTGAAATTTGTTTACAACATGGTTATTATTTAAATCCATTATCTAATAATGAATGGTTAATTATTAATACTGATAGTCATTTATTATATAATGTACGATCAAATGATCATTTATATACAACTATCAAGTATGATAAACGATTATTAAATGCAATTATGTTTAACGAAAATTATCTTGTTATTAGTACAATGGAATATACAATTAATTTACATGAATTGTATGTTAAAAAATGAAGTATATTTTAATTAATATCATTTTTAAATTATAGTTGTTGTTTTTTATCTTAACTTTATCATAAATGAACGTAATTAAGCAATAAAAATATTTCTTATTCTTAACACTAAAACTCCGTTCACACAATTTTCAAGCTCGTCCAGGTTAGAAGACCATGGCTTTCTATTATAGTTTTCCGGTGTCAGTTAAAGCCGAATTATACGAAACTTTTTGAGTAGATTAACGATCCATTTCTGGTGCTGTTGTAGTGCTGTGCTACTTTCAACATCTGCAACCAATTATCAGTTATCATAAGATGGCAGCATAGGTGAGGAATAATTCATCTGTTCTGCTATCAAATTCAATGTTTCTAACCTGGACATTACGATAATGTTTGCAACAAAAACAATTGCCTTTAGACCTTCCGACAGATTTTCAAATTTTTAATGTATTTTCTTGTACTATACTTGCTTTGCAGTTTTAACAGAACAAAATTTAGTGAAATGTTTTACACCATTCATTTCCATTTACTAGTGTTTCTTCACGTAACGTAGCTGTGTTAAAAGTGCTATTATGATGGTTGGGAGAATGAAAAGAGCGAGTGAAATAGTTAACGAAATTCAATTTGAAAATCTTTCCTCTAGAATTGCGTCAGCACATACAAAGCATAAATATATGTGTAGTATTAAAAATATATCGAAATAAAAAGAGTTGCTGTACTGTGATAACGACATGCTAGACTTTTATTACATGGCTGACTTAGTCTATTAGAAGGATTGCTCAAAACAGAATTACGTGAACTGAAATGGTCAGTAGATTACTGTTGTCCGTGGTCAGAAAAAATTTCTTGGCTTGCGATTGAAAAGAGAATTAAAAATACAAACAAAAATAAATTTCACCATAATATTTTTTGAATATATATGCATAGTGCGTGGTTTTCTCTTGTTTTTATTTTTATTGTGTTATAATAAAAAATTAAAGTTCCGAAACTATCTGTGTCTGACTCTGATGAGCTTCAATGAAAATCTTATTATTTTATTATATTTACATTCACGACTATTGATTAGTTCTAAGATTTAATCGGTTTTATGAACCATCATAATTGTATGATAGTCATTTAAAGCCAGATTTCTAAATTACCCTCGGATAAGTTTGTATTAAATTGAGCATAAAATTCTTTATCACTCATAGATTTTAGTATTGTATTTCGTTTTAACCATAAATTTGGATCATTCCTTAAACTATAAAACATCATTGGCATTCTGTGCATTGAGAATACCCATAATCCTAATTTTAAATAGATCAAGTTCGGAAATAATTCAATTGAAGCATTAACCAAATCAGCAACGTATTTGCTTCTGTACCCGTGAATATCAGTACTACTTAAACAAATAAATTTTAATGATGGTAATAAAATTGCCCATCTACGTAAAAACGATTCACCAGGGAAATATTTATAATCAGCAGTAAAATTTATTACTTGTTTTAGGTATGGTGTTCGAGATTTTTCCAATAGATCTATAACCTCATAATCCATCACCAAGTCATCACACGAGCAACTGATTCGAATGGAATTGAGGTTTGTTGTTACCTGTAATAATTGTTCTATGAATAAATATAAATATACATTGGCCTCTGAATATGTCCCATTAAACGATAGAAAACGTAGTTTTGGTAGTTGACATAATTTTGAAAATTGAAACTGTTGATCATTAATATCGTAATGTGAAGAGTCTTCATCACCGTCGTCACTGTGATGAACATACAAATGAGTTTTATTATAAAGTTTTTGCAATCGATGAATATAACTCTATTATTTCCGAATTATTATAACATACCAGATGAGTTGAGGGGAATTCATTACTCTTCATCATCTTGTCTGTATATAAATGAATTTTATATGGCGACATTTCAACATGGAAAAGTCAATGTTTTTCATTTAAATAATAATATGATAAAAATATTGATAGGATATCAGCACCTGTTATATTATTAACATTATTATTTATCCAATACTCGAAGCTAAATTGCAATACACGAAGTTTAGTTACATTACTGAATAACATATGCCATTGTTGACCGTCCAAATAAGCTAATTCATGTGATCTACAAGTCAAATTAATGCATAATTTTTCTAAATTTGAAAACTTTCTCATAAACATATAGGCATGTACTAGCTGTTTCTTTTCTATACAAATTAGGGGGGTCCTTCCATCGAATGTGCTTTCACTAGTTTGTAGAGGACACTTCGGAGTATCTATTCCATCAAAGCTTTCGGTTTCCACATTTGTAGTTTTTGATTAAAAAAGTTTTTAAAGTTTTTTGCCGTATTTTTAAAATTTCAATAAGAACTTTAATTTTTGATATGAAGAGTTGATTCTAGCGTAGTTCGATAGAGAACATTAACTTGTATTAGGAGAAATACTTTTCATCGTTTCCCAATGAAGTTTAACGCAGAAATTTAACTTTCGTCTTCTGAAGGAAATTTTAGAGCTAAAAGTATTCTGAAAAAAGGTCTCACGACCAGTTGCGATCAAAGCAAGCATTTTGGAGGGAAACTATGAGTGCAAAAGTTGTTCAGAATCGAATTCCGGAGTCCCTCATTAGAGCTTTTTTAAAATTTTCTGTTTTTGATTTTTCAATTGAAGAATACGAAATTTTAAAACTTAAAAAATTGAGATACTTCGAATTATATGTCCTGAAGCTTTCTCAGCTTACTTGCATTATTTAGCTGAGAAAGAAATTAATTATTTAAAAAGTATTGTTAAATTCCTGAGTTACTAGACTTTCTGAGCAGTAAAAACGTATTCTAAGAATTTTAAGATAGTATCTCTTATAGCCCCTGAAATTCTGTATCAGATGAGATATTACTTGAATTTTTTCGTTGAGTTGGTATTTTACAAATGAAACTCTAAGCTAGTAGAATAGGCTAAATTAAAGTTAATTAGCACTAATTAGTCAATAACAGGAAAGAAAGAACAAAAACTTTTACATATTCTCTCTTAGTAAATATTCTCTACACATTTCTCTATCGATCAAGGCAAGAACCAAGTTTTTATGATGAAATGGAGAATGGATAGGAAACTTATTAAATAGTCTCGTGCTTTTAAGTAATTAATTTTTTTCTCAGCTAAATGAAGGTAAGTGAGCTGAGAAGACTTCAGGACATATACTTCGAAGTATCCTTTACAAACTGGGAACGTTTGAAGAAAATCTAGATGGAGCAACCTCCACTTAATATAAGCATAAAAATCTAAAAACGCTAAACTATGATCTTTCTCAAAGTCAGATATGAATTGTAACTCATTAACACTATTTCAACG